TATGGGTTTACAAGTATGCCCCAACCCTGCTTTGGAGGTGTACATCATGTCGGAGATCGATGCAGAATTTCTTATAGGATGGAGATTAAGAGTACCAGTGATCTCATGTGGTTTTTCACTGATCCCACTCATTTTTAAGCACAAAGCAAATAGCCGGATAGCACAAACAGTTTTTGTTGACGCAACGCACAAGACCAAATTTCCCTAATTGAGAAAGTTTTGGCACTCTCGAATGTTTCTGGAGCTTGTTGTACTCCCACAGAAATCAAAAACCTCCTCGTAAGTTAATGTTAGCATCATAATCCGTGATTATCGCAAAAATACACATGGGAGAAATAAAAGAGTCGGAGAACGTGCGGTGCCGAGCTCCAATTCGGAGTGGGTAAACCGTCAGCCCCCCATGTTGCTTGGCGAGGACAGCGCCGCCATCGGTAATCAGCGAGCCCAATATGAGAAAATTCAAAACTTAATCAACGTCTCTATTGTAACTGCTGTGAATATCATTCATCCATTAACCGTTCATTACATTATCAAGTGCGATATAATGTGCAAATCCCATACGTCAATATATTTATGTATTATTTGGACGTGTTAAAGACTGGTGGAATGATTATAAGGGTCAAACGTTCTGATTGGTCAATAAGTTCCATTACCAGTCTCCAATGAGGTTTGATTACAGAGGGAAGGCTTTCTCCTGCTGAAAAACGTTAACAACATAAGGTTTTTTTCTACAAAAAGACATCGACAGGAAAGATTTTATCTGCGTAGAGAATGAGCTATTAATGAGCTTCAAATTATCCATCCTTCACAATGTAATTCTGTTAATTTATTATCTATTTTTACAGCCAATTTGCGACAAATCAAGCATAAACACCTTTAAAAAAAAACAAAAACTGCATTGGCCGGTACATTTTTGTGAAAATAAAAAATGAGCTTCTAATGAACTTTGAACCTCTCACTCTTGAAGAATAAATTTTGTTCATTTTCAAGTTATTTTTCTGCTAATTGCGTAGGACAAAGCACGCACACGTTCCTTTATTTGCAAAAATAGTATTAATAAAAAAATCAACCAAATGGTATAAAAGAAGCTCTTAATGAGCTTCAAATTATCCATGCTTCAAAAGGTAAATATCTTAATTTTTCAACTACTTTCTAGCCAATGTGCGCAAAAGGTGCCATAAACACCTTTAAAAAAAATGCATTAGCCGATTTATTTTTGTGAGCATGAAAAATTAGCTCCTAATGAGTTTTAAATTATTCAATGTTGGAACTGGATTTTTTTTTAATTTTTGAAGTACTCTCCTGCTGAGAAAAGTTCACAACATAATATTTTTTTCTAAAAAAAGACATTGACAGCAAACGTTTCATCAGCCTAGAAAATGAGCTTCAAAGTATCCATCCTTCAAAATGTAATTTTGTTAATTTATTATCCATTTTTAGACCAATGTGCAAAAAATGAAGCATAAAGACCTTTTTAAAAAAAATGCATTACCCGATTTATTTTTGTGAACATGGAAAATTAGCTCCCAATGACCTCTAAATTATTCAATGTTGGACATAGATTTTTTTTTAAATTTTTGAAGTATTCCCCTGCTGAGAAAAGCTAACAACATAAGAATTTTTTTCTAAAAAAGACATCGACAGCAAACATTTTATAAACGTAGAAAATGAGCTCTTAATGAGCTTCAAATTATTCATGATTGAAACACTTTTTTTTTTCATTTTCTAGCCCTTTTGCTGCTAACATACTCGAAAGCTCATATCAACATCTATTTTAGTTTTCTGTCTGACCCTTATGATCATATTTTATGCTTTCACCTTTGAACCCTTCCAGCAGCTCAACTCTCTATGAGTATTCCAATCATATAATTATTATGGCTATATCTAGTATTCGGCCCTCACGACCTTAGGGTCATTCTGACCGCGTCCACCATCCCAAACTACCCATTATCAATTATACTCCCTACACTTCTTACAAGAATTTTGATACGTACTTCCAGAAAAAAAAAGAAAAAAAGTTATTTTTCAATTTAAAAAATTTTTTTTTGAAAATTATTTAAAATAATAAAAATTTAAAAATACTGGAAAGTGAGCTTCGAATGAGCTTCAAATTCTCCATTATCTCAAATGGGATTACATTCATTTTCACTCCTTATTTCTGTTGACTTGCGGAGGGTTAGCTTGACGCCTTTTTTCAAAAAATGCGTTGGCAGGAAATTTTTTGACAGCAGAGAAAGAAAGCTCTTAAAGAGTTTTAAATTATAAAAGGTTGAAAAAAAATTTTGTTCCATTTTTGTGCCATTTTTCTGTTAACTTGCGAAAAAGTTAGCACAAACAGTTTTTTTCCAAAATGGCATCAACAGGAAAATTGTTTCTGGCGTAGAAAATTAGCTTCTAATGAGCTTTAAATAATCCCATATTCAAAATTTAATTTTGCTGATTTTCACTGCCAACTTAATATATGTATGTCTTGAAGAATTGAAGGATAGAGTTATTGCTTGAATATGAATTTCTATTTCAGAGGAAAGCCTCCAAGGAAATTTCTGCTGCAGAAAATCCCTCCGGGTTTTACTTTGCACTCCACAATTCCACTCGAAGACGGCTACTGAGAGTGAAAGCATTGTTGGAATATTTTTCCTATGGTCCGATATTTTCGACTCATTGATAAATGTGACAGTCAATTAAAGGTCATATACAATTGTTGATTAATCAAGTTATATAAAATCGATCATTGATTAAGAAAAGGAGTATTAGAACTGGCTGTTATTCCAGTAAACGCGGAAAATGCAGATAATGACATAGTGAGCCATCATTGACTAGCTGTCACCACCAGATCGAATTGTCACCATAACTCTATAATATCTCACCATTGATAGTTTTCATTACATGCTGGAGAAATCTATGGGATGGGAGTGAAGATAATTACTCCGCATGGTTTTTCATGTATGACCCTAGTTGCGGGGGTGACGGATGCTGTAAACGGCTTCTGAAGGACAGTGTGGAAATGAAGAAAGAAACTCTTCAGCGCTAATCAACAGTCAAATGTGAAATCTTATAAGAAGACATTGTGACGAGGGGCTATTCACATCCGAATTGGGTGACAGTGATTACAAAATGTAATCGATTACACGTGATTACGGCCCTGATTACACAAATCGATGATTACAGTGATTACCAATGTCAAAAAGAATGATTATATGATTACGAAATGATGACATGATTTCAGTCATTACAGTCAGTGATTACCAAATATTTGTAATCATTGTAATCACAAAAACATCACCTTTAAACTTAATAACTTTGTAAGTAAGAAAATTATTTATTCATCAATTAATCAATTTGTTGACTTCTTCTACGACTTGAAAAATATAACTTCTCCGGCAACTATTTTCATTATTTTATTTTATCCCATGAAATACAGTCCAATTTCCATACGAGATACTTTAACCCGTGCCGAGTTGTACCCTCACGGTCTGATTTGAATGTTTTTCTTCCTGTATTTTCCGTATAAGATACTCTACGAAGAGACTAGGATTGAGTGGGAATGAAGTGTCGAACGTGAGGTACGAGTGAAGTGATGACGAGTAAAATGCGAAGTACGGGTGGATTGGCAAGGGTCACACTTGAAGCATGAGAGAAATGACCAGACGGATCTAAAGGAGGAGACAAGTGGAATAATCACGAGGGTTTAACGAGAGGGACGAGTAGAGTGATGACGAGAACCAAATGGGAGGTACGAGTGGAGTAATCACAACTCTCAGACGGGAGAGACGAGTAGAGTGGAGTCATGCGGAGGTCATACCTCGTGAAGTGTCAAATATCGAAATGGTCTTACCCCGCGAGGATCTGTTGCGAGAGTCTGTATGACCCTTGCAAGAAATGATCCTGGTGATGCTTGACCATAGAGTGGCATGACCCTCGCGATATATGACCTTTGTGAAACTTGACTCCACTCACCTCCTCCTTTGACTCTTATCATCTATCTACTCATATCTCCCATTTGACCCTCCTTATCAATCCACTCGTCTCTTCCGTTTGACTCTTGTGAATCCGTTTGACCCTCGACACCTACATTTTATCCTCGTAATCACTCCACTCGTACCTCTCATTTGACTCTCTTTCATTATTCCACCCGTCATATCCGTTTTACCCTCGCGATTACTCCACCCGTACTTCACATTTGACGCTCGTCATCATTCTACTCGTCACCCCCTTTGGACCCTTGTGATCATTTTGCTTGTCTCCCCCTCTTAACCCTTCATTCCGCTCATGCCCCACGTTGGACCCTCGACATTACTCCAATCGTCACACCCCTTTGACTCTTGTGTTCATTCCACTTGTCAGCCCTCGCGACTCTTCTGATCACTTCACTCGCACCTGATGCATTGCAAATATACATATGACAAGTACCTTTATTTGAAATCTAACAAATAGACGGTTTGCGGACTCCAATAAAACTGTCCCGGTAGGGCCTCAACTACGAATAGCTGGGGTTCCAAGAAAAATTTATCGAGGAATTTTTCGTTTATAGATGGTAGAAATGTGAAATGCAAAAGATGAAACATGCACTCACACGACAGAAATCATTTCAAATGATTACATTGATTACGATTGACTACATTTTGATTATCAAAAACGATTACAAGAAGTGTAATCAGATGATTTCAGGGATTACAATGATCTCATTGATTTCACTGTGACTACACTCTGATTACACTTTGATTACGGCAGCAAGTGACACCATGATTACAAATGTGAATAGCCCCTCGCATTGCGATGTAACATTTTTATTAACTTCCCGGATAGGGAAGTTATTGTATGCACTATCATACTGACGCGGAGGCTAGCGAAAAACACGTGCTCGACGTCTTTATTCACTCTTGTGTAAGCCGGACACTCCGGGGAATCCTCATGTTTGAATTTATGAAGATAAGCCCGGAAGCACCCATGTTCTGACAGCATCTATGTCAAGTAGCAATTCACTTCTCCATAGCGACGCTTTAACCAGGCATGCACCTGCGGGATAAAACGGTGAGTCCATCTCCCGCTCCTCGAGGCGTCCCACTGGAGCTCTCATCGGTGCAAGCTATTTCGTCTTCTGCCCTGAGCTCTGCTGCACGCAGTGTATCCGATCCTCTCCGCCGGTACAGGGATCTTCGTTCCTCGGCTAACACTTCAATGGGCAGCATCCCGGCGATAACACATACTGCATCCTCGGACACAGTGCGATATGCTTTGGCAACTATGAGGGCGCTCAGTCGGTAGACTGGTGCCACCTTCCTCCGTGATATCGGCGTATGCAGCGCGTCATCCCAGATGGCAATGCCATACGTAAGCACCGACGTGACCACCGACGATAGTAACGCTCTTCTCCTCTGCTTAGCTCCTCCTACGTTTGGCATGAGGCGTGATAGGGATGCTCTGACCCCAGACGCCTTCATACCTACGTGCTCTGTCTGCTGCTTCAAGATGAGTCGAGCATCGATCATCACCCTCAGGTATCAGATGTACGGCTGGGAGGTAATTTCAGAAAACCCGACCTGCAGCGTGATAGTCTCAATTTTCTTTCTGCTTGTGATCAGCACGGCTTCTGTCTTATGCTCCGCTAGGTTCAGGCCTACTGTGTCCATCCAGCGGCGGATCGTCTCGAAGGCCGTATCAAATGCGAAGTTGATCTCCTCCAGGTGTTTTTCCACGATAACTACAGCCATGTCATCCGCCAATGCCACAAGTTTCACACCTTGTGGCAATTTCAGCTTGAGCAGCCCATCGTACATGACATTCCACAGGAGAGGGCTCAGTACTGAGTCTGGAGGTACCCCTCCAGGGATTCTGTACTGATCCGGACCACACTCCGTGTCGTACTTGAGAATTCTTCCGATAAAGTAGCTATTTACCGTCCTTCGCAAGTATCCAGGTAGATACAACTTCACAAGAGCCTCCCTTATGCAGTCCCACCTGGCTGAGTTGAAGGCATTCTTGATGTCCAGTGTCACTACTAGGCAGTACTTCTTTGTGCCGCCGTACCATCTTTTCCCTGAGATCGCCTCCTTACCGTTGTCGACGACAAGGCTGATGGCATCGAGAGTAGATCGGCCTCTCCGAAAACCTTTCTGGTTGCCGGCTAACAGTGACTCAACTGTTGCTTTTATCCTTCGATGAGTGATGCGTTCGAGAATCTTGCCAGTAGTATCGAACATGCAGAGGGGATGATAAAATGAGGGTTCATCCGGCGGTTTTTCCCCTTTTGGGAGTAATACTAGCCTCTGCTGCTTCCACTTGGCAGGGAAGGTATCTTCCTTGAGACACTCGTTGTACACGTCCAGGAACAGCGCAGGCATCCTCCGGATGGCCGCTTTCAGCGCAGTGTTGGCGATTCCATCTAGGCCAGGAGCCTTGGTGTTCCCCACTCGCCTGCAGACCTCCATCAGTTCCTCTTCGGTGATTGGTGGAATGGTCTCCTCCTCTTCGTATTCGGTGGTACGGTGGAGTTCCGGTTGTTGTGGGAACAGTACCGTAACGATTTTCTTCAAGAGTTCAGGGCAAGTCGGTGATGGCATTGGTTGGCCTTCAAGCCGCGTCAACACCGCCTTGTATGGCTTGCCCCATGGATCCCCTTGAACTTCTGCAAGGAACTCATTCGAGGATTGGCTCTTGCTGGGCTTGATGGCCTTGCTGAGCTTCTGGATTGCTTCCTTGTATTTCAGCCGTGTCTCTCCGAAATTTGGCTTCTTTCGGGCTCGTTATAACGATCTCCTCGTTTTATTACACTCCTTAGGCAGAGTGGCGATAGTATCTGTAAGAATATTTTCCCGGGTTGTTCACCCAGGAAAAAGCCAAACTACTTTTTAGGCCGTCTCTATCGCTCAATAATCGGGCGCCAGCCGAACCTTCACGGGAGGTTCGACGGAAACCGGCCTCTGAGGCAAACTCGTCCATTCAGAGGACTTTGTGGCTGGACAATGGATAGCCCAGCTAACATCAGCGTGATACGGTAGAGTAGGCGAGGTCCACCAGGAGTACAACCGCCACATCCCCACGGCCTTCCTCGAGCGGAGGATTATGCCTCGCGGCATAAGTTCCCTACTGAGTTGGATTCATCTTTCCTCCGGAGGGTCTCTCGACTTCTCCGGCATGCTTCCTCTCCCCGAGTATTTATACTCGTAATTTCTCAACCCGTAACGAGAAAATCTCGTTACATATCATTCCACCAATACATCGCCGAGCGCCGACTGTTGACCGGCTTTCTGCTCATGGTGGCGTCACAGGCTTCCGTGATCCTTCTCATGAGGTCGTCCCCCTTTTGCGTAGCATTATTGCCATTGATCGGACCGTCGCCTAGTGCAATTAGGTATAAGCTAAAATCGAAGGTGCTCACTTTCCAGCCAATTGTGTTAGTCTTTTTAGGCGCTGGCTCGATCCTCCGACGGGTAGATACCTTCCAGAGTATCGCGCGATGGTCGCTGGCGGTGTAGCTGTCGGTGAAACCTTCTATGAGCAGTTTCCCCTTGCAAGGTTGCTGCTCACGAATGTAAGATCTACAATCGAGGTCGCCTCTCCCCTCATGAAGGTCGGTTCGTTGCCGTTGTTCAGAAGGACAACGCCGAGCGATGACATGGCTTCGAGCATGGCCTGTCCCTTATTGTTTGTTTCCTTACTTCCCCAATCGACTGCCCAGGCGTTGAAGTCCCCGGCTATTGCCACGGGAAAGTGCTGCTTCGCATCCTCAGTCAGTCTGTCAATCGAGAGACTAGGTGGGGCGTAACAACTATAGAAGTAAATTCCATCAATCTTAGCCTTCACGAAACCATTTTCATAACTACACGGCACGGTGTGGAAAGGGTAGCTCCCACAAGACCAGATGACTGCCTTTCTACTAGCGTCGGTAACCCAGGGTTGGGTGCCAAGATGTCTATATGGCTGCGAGACGATGACAATGTCAGACTTCAACTCCCGCACAGCCTGCATGAGCAGATCGTGTGCGGCCTCACAGTGGTTGAGGTTGAGTTGTATCACTTTCATCGCCGTTTATTGATCAGCTTCTGTAGTGCCTCCTTATACACCGGGCATCTGGTGCTACCAGCAATGTGGGCATAGTTCTCCGTGTTGCCTTCGCTGTGCACAGGGCGCATCGAGGCTCCTTCTTACAGTCTGTAGGCTTGTGGTCTGCGTCTGAGCATTTAGCGCAGAGTTTGGACCGGTCGATCTTACTCCTGCATTTAGTGGCGAGATGTCCGTGGTGCCAGCACCTGAAGTACTTCATTGGTATCTCCACTCTTCTTATGCGGCAATTTACCCAGCCTATCTTGATCTTCACATGCTCTCCCAAGATCTTTTTCGCTGTAGTTGCTGCGAGTGTTACAGAGGCAGTCTGGGTTCCTCCATATGCCTTACGCAAGGACTTGATGGTATCTGCACCTATCTTGTGTTCCTCTCCGGCTGCTTCTTTCAGAGCTTCGGGTACGTCCTCCTTCGTCGTCGTCTCGTCGCGGTCTTTGATTTCGAGATCTACTTGCGGTCCTTTACTGAGCACCTCGGCCTCATCCTCGAGGAGGTCGGCAATGGTTTTGTGTAGCTGGGGAGCTCCGTCAGTAGATTTCCTGCTCATTATAATAAGCATATCTCCGGTAGTCGTCCTGCGGATCTTGTCGACGCATGCACGGTCCTGATCTATGGGGACGTCTCGTTTGACTCAAATAAGGGTCTCCGAGTACTTGTCTCTGTCCTTGGAACGGATAATCAGCACATCAGGTCTAAGCGCTGGTTTTCGGAGTAGCTTCTTCCTATTTTCCTTCTTTTTCATAAGGAGAGGCTCCTGAGGCTGTTCTTCTAGGAGCCTCTCCCTTTTTCCCCACTTCTTGTTCATCACGTGTACCCAGTCCGGTGATTTGGCAGGTGGCTTCGCCGGTGGGACTATCTTGTCAGCTAGCTCCTGCTGCTTCAATTTCTTCAATTTTCGGGCTGCCATCTCAGATGAACTCTTCGAATGCTTCCTGCATTTTGCTTTACGAACATCTCAAACATTTTGGGTGTGCTGCGAGGCATCTCTCGAGTCCTCTATCTCCGAATCCTTCACTGTTGTTTCGGAGTCCGTCCGTAAGCGCTATAGCGGTGGCGCAAGTAGCTGTTGAACTGGCCCAGCGTCAGAAAACTGAGTCCGAGTGCGTGCTCTCTCCAGTCTCTCGAGCCTTTTGAAGGCACTGCCAATAGAAGCCAACTTGAATTTAATCTCCTTGTGGACATTCATCTTGGGTTGGACAAACTCATTGAAATCTGCGATGAGCTTATTCATTCGTGCCCGTGGCTAGAGAGCATCCTGTCTCCTCGTGAGTCTGTGACTCTACCCCACTTGTAGCATTTAAGGCCAAGTGGTCCATCTTTGGAGAGAGTAATGGTAGGCTCCTCTCACATACCGTGGAGCCAGCATCACCCACCGGGGCGTTCACCCGATCGGAAGTGATGGCGGGATTTCCTTTCTCAAGGATACCCGCATGGGAAGTTTGTATTGTAATGTCACTCATCATTATTACTTTAAGCTGATGAAGGAAGCTCACCCTATTCTCTTTGCTTAGGCTGTTGGAGGGAGCCAACCCTGCGCGCCACTTTTAAAGTTGGGCTTCTGCACCAAGATGTCCTGAGAAGTACAGACCTCGGTTTGAACTGCTTCTTGGTTGGGATGTATCCTTCAAGCCCCTCCACCAACAACAAAGTCCTGTAGTTCCTAGGAGGGGTGTGTGTGTGTGTTTTTTTTTTGTTTTCAGGGCAAAATGCATTTACGCACACGCTCGGGTTTGGAAATTCCCAGAGAGTAGTGCCCGACTCGGTCTGGTCTAGATGGTGGCGACCACGAGCTGCCAAAGTTGGTGAGACGTGGCTTGGTTTAGCTCGGCGAATATGCCACCAATACAGACTAAAAACATACCCCTGACACCTACTTCCTATTTCTCCGTGGAACCGCCGCTAGGCATTACAGCACGGGGGGAGGGCTTAGACGTAGCTCTTCCTTCGGCCGATCGAAGTCAGCGCTTATTCCATCTCATTTCTTCCTCTTATTTCTGTTCCTTTCTTGTTCCGCCTTGCGTAAGTCTTTTAGGACTTCCGCTGCGAAGGCATTGGTTGCCTCCCAGGCTGCCTCTGATGAAAGCATTGCTTCCATCAGGTTTTCAGGCTGAATTCTCTCTCCGAGTGTAGTCTCCAGTGTACTGCGGGGCCCGTTGAAGCGCGGACACACGAAGAACGCATGCTCCGCATCTTCGGAGACTCCTGTGCAGGCCGGGCACTTCGACGATTCCTCATATTTGAACCTATGAAGATATTGCCGGAAGCACCCGTGTCCTGAGAGCATCTGTATGAGATAGTAGTTGACTTCTCCATGTGTTCGTTTGACCCATGCATCCAATTTAGGGATCAGGCGGTGATTCCATCTCCCATTGGTCGAGACATCCCACAGCAACTGTCATCGATGCAGACTGTTGTTCCTCCCATCTGTCCTCAGCTTAGCTGAACTCAGCGTTGTTGACCTTTTTCGCCGATAGAGACAACGTCGTTCCTCAGCAAGTACTCCTATCGGCAGCATCCCGGCGATGACACACATAGCATCTTCTGATACCGTGCGAAAAGCGCTGGCAACTCTAAGGGCGCTCAATTGATAAACTGACGCCACCTTCCGTCGCGCATGCTGGATCAAGAGTACGTTACCCCAAATGGAAATCCCATATGTGAGGACCGACGTGACAACTGATGACAGCAACGCTCTTCTTTTCTGCTTTGGCCCTCCGACGTTCGGCATGAGCCGTGAAAGGACAGTCCGAACTCCAGACGCCTTCGCGCCGACGTACTCCGCCTGCTACTTGAAGCTCAGTCGAGCATCTATCATCACTCCCAGGTACCGTAGCGATAGTTGGGAGGTGCTGTCGTGATTCCCGATATGCAGCGTGATGGTTTCGATCTTCTGTCGGCTCGTGATAAGCACAGCCTCCGTTTTATGTTCTGCCAGCATCAGTCCCACTGAGTCCATTCATTGACGAATTCTGTCATATGCAATATCGAAAATATAATTGATCTCCAGGCGTTTTGCAATGATTACCAGAGCTACATCATCCACAAATGCGATGAGTGTAGCCTCCTTGGGTAATGCTAACTTCAGAAGACCGTCGTACATAACGTTCCACAAGAGAGGGCCAAGCACCGAGCCCTGGGGAACGCCACCAGTGACTCTGTACTCTTTTGGGCCAGCGTCTGTATCGTATTTCAGGACTCTGTCTGTGAAGTAGCTTCGCACCATCCTCCGCAGATATCCTGGTACATTCAGCATTGAGAGGGCCTCCATGATGTTGTCCCATCTGGCGGAGTTGTAGGCATTTTTGATGTCCAATGTTACCACCAAACAGTACTGCTTCGCGCCCCATTTCCACCTCGCGCCAGAGATTGCGTTCCGTGCAATGGCGACGACTAGGTTGATGGCATCAAGCGTGGAACGACCTCTACGAAAACCGTATTGGTTGTCAGCCAATTGTGGTTCGACCACTTCCTCAATCCTCTGGTGGAGTTTGCGCTCCAGTATTTTTCCGGCTGTGTCCAGCATGCAGAGTGGACGATAGGACGAGGGTTCGTCCGGTGGCTTCTTCCCTTTCGAAAAAAGCACCAGTCTCTGTTGCTTCTACTTGGTTGGAAATATCCCCTCCTGAAGACACGCATTATAGACACTCAGGAAGGTTTCTGGCGTTGCGTTGATTACCACTTTCAGGGCGGCATTCGGGATTCCATCCATTCCTGGTGCCTTGGCATTCCCGAATCTGCCACAAGTTTCCAGCAGCTGCTCAAGTGTCACTGGTGGGATCGCCTCTGCATCGCAGTTCTCTGTGAAGAAGTCGAGCTTCGGTTGTTGTGGGAACAGCACCGTTACGATTTTCTCCAAAAGCTCAGGGCACGTAGGCGACAGCATCGACTGGGTTCTCAACCTCTTCATGACCACACCGTAGGGTCGCCCCCACGGGTACACTTCGACTTCGTCAAGGAGCTCATTCCACGCCTGTCTCTTACTTTCCTTGATCGCCTTATTGAGTGTCCGGCGTGCCTCCTTATACTTGATTTCCAGTTCTTTGCAGTTTGGCTTCTTCCGACCTCGTTGTGCTTGCCTCCTCGCTCAAATGCATGCCTTCCGTAGGGTGGCGATGGTGTTGTTCCACCAGTACACCGATGGATGGTTACTTGTACTACACTTCCAGGACATAGTTGCATCGCAGGCTTCGGTGACTCTACGCATAACTTCCCCCACTTTCTCCGTGGCGTTGTTTCCTCGGATCGGGCGATCGTCGAATATTTCACGGAGTAAGTTGGAGTCAAGGGCGTTCGACTTCCATCCAACCGTGTTGGTCTTGTTGGCTGCAGATCCAGAAATTGTGTTGTGGTCACTAATGGTGTAGATATACATCGCCTCCCAGTTGCAGCTTCCCCTAGCGAGGCTGCTATTTACGAAGGTGAGGTCTACGATTGAACTAGCCCCTGCTCTCTCGAAAGTTGGTTTTTCGCCACTATTCAGCAGTACCGCGTCCAAGAAAGACATGGCCTCCAGTAGCGTTTGTCCCCTCGTGTTTGTCTCCTTACTGCCCCAGTCAAATGCCCAGGCGTTGAAGTCCCCAGCCATTGCTCTGGGGAAGTGCTGCTTCGCTACCTCGGTCAATCGATCCAGGAAGTCTGTAAACTCATCGATGGATAGGCTAGGCGGAGCATAGCAGCTGTAGCAGTGAATTTCACCCAGCTTAGCTCTCACAAAGCCGCTCTGCGCAGTATTGACGCCACTCNACTGCCCCAGTCAAATGCCCAGGCGTTGAAGTCCCCAGCCATTGCTCTGGGGAAGTGCTGCTTCGCTACCTCGGTCAATCGATCCAGGAAGTCTGTAAACTCATCGATGGATAGGCTAGGCGGAGCATAGCAGCTGTAGCAGTGAATTTCACCCAGCTTAGCTCTCACAAAGCCGCTCTGCGCAGTATTGACGCCACTCTGGAAGGGGTATTCACCGCAGAACCAAATGACGGATACAAACGTCCTTGGCGGTGGTGTCCGTCTCCCATGGCTGATCATGCAGATAATTGTACGGCTCCGAAATAATTACGAGATCGGGCTTCAGCTCCCGCACCGACTGTGTAAGCAGGTCGTGTGCAGCCTCGCAGTAGTTGAGGTTAAGCTGAAGTATTCTCATCGTCGATTTTTGGTCAACGCCTGGAGTGCCTCCTTGTATGCTGGGCATTTACCGCTGCCAGCAATATGAGCACTGTTGTTCATGCGACCCTTTGCGATGCAGAGGACGCATATGGTATCTTTCTCGCATTTTGCGATCAGATGACCATCCTCACCGCATTTGATACAGTTTTTGGAGCGGTCAACCAAGCTTTTGCACGTATTGGCAAGATGCCCGAAATTCCAGCACTTGAAGCACTTCAGGGGTCTCTCCACTCTTCTGACCCGGCAGTTTACCTACCCGATCTTAATCTTGCCGTGTTCTCCGACAATTTTCTTCGTCGTCGCGACTGACAGTCTCACCCACGCCGTCTGGGTACCTCCGTATGCCTTCCGTAGTGACTTGACCGCATTTAGCGAAATTCCGCA